ACCAGGAGCGCCTGAGTTGGTCCCAGACCAGCCACGCACCGAATCCGCCTGAAAAATGGATGTGGGTCGTGTGTATCCGCGCGGGCACTCTCCTATTAAGGTTTGCAAGGCGGGGGGGGGGGGGGCAGGCAGACAAACATACCAACGTTTTGATCCATCCTCACAGAACTGATCCACAGTCATCAAGACTGACTTGGTCCCATCCATTGCAGTGAATGGGACAAGTTCGTTGCGATGTGTAAATGCCCTGCAAGTTCACTCGGCATGAATAGCCCCGATTGATCGAAGGCCGCTCGCTTCAAGGAGTCAGGCGGAAGCAAGCCTGCGTTTGTGTGTGGAAACAGAAAGCTCTGCACCCCCAGGGCTGGTGGATCAGGTCCAGAAATGGGAATTGAAATCCCTCCCTCCATCCAGCTGGCTGGGACATGCTGGGAATTGGAGCGTATTTTTCTGCCTTTAACAGGCATCGGAGTTGGCCCTTAAATGTACTTCTTCCTAAAGTCTTTCTAAGGAACTGGGCAAACACAGAAAGAGGCGCTTCCAACCAGAAGCCCGGCATTAAAAGCGGGGCCACCGTGGCGCTTGCTGCGCACGCGTCCTCAAAGGTCCAGGCGTCAGGGAGCCCGAGAAGCGCCCTGCTGAGTCAGAGCAGGGAACGCCTAGCCCAGCAGCCTGCCCTCACAGTGGCCAACAAGCAGCCCATGGGAGCCACCCTCCCACCCATGTGCCCCAGCGACTGGGGTGCACAGGCACACTGCCTCTCACGCGGAAGGCAGCCTATGGCCACCAGAACCCGGGTGTTCGCGCGCCTTGCCCAGGAACTGTGCCCGTCCCCTCCCCAAGCCATCCGACGTGGACTTGGTGGAAGGGAATCCCACGGTGGGACTAGGCACGTGTGAAGAAGTCCGTCCTTCGGTCTGCCCGGACGCTCCCGCCATCCGTCTCTCGGGATGCTCCCTCAGGCGCGCCTCCGCTCTGCCCTTCCTCCCCACCCAGCCAAACCTGGGACGCCCCTTTCCGTGACGCCCAGCAGCCACGGCGGCACAAGCATGGCCTTTGCAAGGCGCCGCGTCCAGAAACGGGCGCTGCGTCCGGACTGCGGTCACCGCTCTGATTTGCAGAAGGGCATTTTCTTTGGATGCCTTCCTAGGAACGAGTCCAAACCAACCTGATTTCAACAGCCTCTTTAATCAGGTTTCATTGGCTTGAAACTTAAATGCAAGGGTACATTAAAAATTGAAGCGCAAGTCGGGGGCGATCTGGCTTTCACCAGCCTCACTAGTCGTTTCATCCTCAGCAAACAACCAGCCAGAGGCATCCAAGAAGGCAACGCTGGTTCTGTGCTGGCTGGGGACAATGGGATCTGTAGTCCAGCACCTCTGGGACCCCTATTTTTTTTCTGTTCTTTTTGAGGCAATCTATGAGGTTACCTCATCATCTCTTCTGCTAAAGATCAGTCAGCTCATCTTTTCCGGTAATATATTTAGTCAGCCCTGGAAATATTCTCCATCCACTTTGCCACCAAGATGGTCCTGCCCTTCTGCGAATCAAGGATGTGGTCACACCTGGAATGCAGTGTCCACTTCTGGCCACCACACCTAAGCAAGGATACAATCCAAGTGGGAAAAGTACAGAAAAGGGTGACTGAAACGATTCAGGGGCTGGTGCGACTTCCTTGTGAGGAAAGGGTCTTGGCTTTGAAAAACGGTAAGGGGGTAAGGGGCGACAGCCTAAAATTAGGCAAAAGCCTAATTAGGTTTCTGGGAGGGAAATGAGGAAAATATCACCGCATCTACTTCCTCTGTTATTTATAATTTTAGAAATTCTGGTTCTATTCCCTGCAAAAGAGCCAGAAATGTGTCTCTTTTCTTTGTGGGAAACAACAGGATCTTATGCAAGTCTACTGAGAAGTAAGTTTCATAGAGTTCAGGAGGACTTGCTTCCAGGTAAAAGGCGATGGCATTGCAGTCTTACCTTCAGAGTTTACAGGAAGGCGCTTAACACACGTACTTACATAAAGTTTGCTCACGCAGAAGTTTCTAGCCTTCTTGAAGTGTCAAACTTCGATCATAATGTGGTGTGACCCGCACTCCAGTCAGCTCTGCATGGGCTTTCAGCCTTAAGCACCCGCTCTCTGTCTTCCATTCCCACGCAGTGCCATCAAGGGAACAAGCAAAAACCCTTCAGGCGCACGCGGTCCTATAGAATCGCATCCTCCGCTATCCATGGAGGCAGCCAGTTGAACGAAATCCCACCCTGCTTTGTTCTGCCCAGGAAGCAACGCTGAGGGAAAGTGTTGTAGGCCGGAACTTATTCATTTAGTTATTTATTTATTTAGAGAATTTCTAGGCCTTTATTTCTAGAATTTCTTGAAACTTCGCATTCAAGACAATGCTCCTACCTTTCTTTGCTACTAATCTCCTGCAGTGGAGTAGAAAGCATAGCAAGTACACACACACACACACACACACTTGCACCCCAGAAACCTCGATCCATCTTCCCGGCTTGCCTTGTCCCCACTTCATCCTCACAACAACCCTGTGAGGTAGAGTGTGCGGAGATACTGTTTGGTCCAGAGGGGAGCTTTGTGGCTGAATGATTTGTACTTGGCTGTCTGCTGTCCTAAACCAGATGACCATCCTAATAATCTTGCTAACAATCAATCATTCGATATTGATTTATGGGTCACGCTAGAAGGAAACTCCTGGGCAACTCGCATAATCAAGCGTAAAAGACGATGATGAAACCAGAAAGATGAGGTTATATCGTTCAGGTCTAAAGACAGTCATCTGCTATATTCCTTGGCTCGGTGAGGTTGTAACCGGGGCATCGTCCCTGGAGCAGCGTTAACGGCCCGTGGCCGCTGGGGCAGCAACCCATGCGCAAAGCTCGCGTTACACCGACCGCGATTCGGTGTTGACGCGGGAGCGCGGTGTGTTGTACACGGGCCAGAACACCCGCGCACGCTTGTCGGTTTCCGCCTCAGCTCCCCAGACTCGAAGGCTGAACTTCTCACGGGTAGCATGTAGCATTTAATATTGCAGCCGTTTCTGCAACAGCTTGTTCTCGAGAGAGGCTTCAGTCAGGTGGATTTGAAAAGACCCCAAAAGGGAAAGATTGGATGAGTTAAGCACCCTGCCATGGAGCAGCCCTGATAGATTCCACTTCCGCCATTAAAGACTGTGACCCTCACAGCCCCAGACTGTCTGACTGCCCACTGTTTCTTTACAGAAGGGTTTGGGGACAGAACTGCAGGATGGGTGGGGGGGGGGGGAGCTGGGGTCCCTTGAGCGGGGGCTCTGCTTCTCAGCTTGCAGTGCTTGTCCTGTGGTTTACTCACCGGCGGTAAGAACTTTAAGCTCCTCTGATTTTATTTTGGCTCTGCTCCCTTTCCTTGTGCCCCCCGCCTTGCCCACTGCTCAAATATGACCACTGGCACTTGGCATAGGTGGAACTTGGCCCCCCAAACTGAAGTGGTTCTGCACCCCCCCATGGGCGGCCTCTGCTCTGATAGGATGCCCTGCAAGGGGCGAGCAGGACAAACCTGCTCAGCAACTCACTCCCACTGTTTACCCGCGTCTGCCCCTCTAAATTCCCACCCCTCGCTACCAGTCCTGCCCCATGGGGCAACATCTAGCCCAGCTCCTGCAAAACAGCCCCAGCAGCGGACACCCCCCCCCCGCGCCCCGAGAAGACCAGCCCCTGCCCAGGAGCCCTGGAGAAGCAGGTGGGCACCACAGGGCTCCTGGTGTCTTGAGCTTCAATTCCCAGAAGTCGTTGCCAGAGCAGCCGAGGGGCAGAAACGTTGGGAGCTGAATTCCCGACGCTGGGAAGTCTGCCTTCTGCCTAGAGAGTGGCAGGTGACTGGGCACCTCAGATGGGGAGTGCCTTGTTTCTTGGTAGAAAGGTGGGTGCAGATACACCGTACAAAGCACACCAGGCACCCTTGCCAACATGAGCATTTTAAAAAATATAGCCACCAGCTGGGCACGCTCATGATTACAGATGCTCAGTTTATGTTTAAACACATTTCCTTTTCTTCCTCTGCAATAAAGTGATGCCTCTGCTCAAGTTCGAGGTGTTTTGCCTCTGAGGCAGCAGATGCGAACCCCGGTTTATTCCGGCAATGCCAGGACTGACTCGAGCTCGGCATGCTAACCTGCACGTGTATTTCGTTTTGTTTTATCGAGGTCTGCAGCGTGGGGAGGAGCGCTGGGGGAGGGGGAGCATCCAAGCAGCTGCAAAGGCTGCTGTGGGGGGGGGGGGTGCTGCATCAGTGCGAAGTTTGGGGTCAGTTTCACAGCTGAAGCAATGCACATGGCCATCTCTGTGGGACCGCTTGGGGCCTCAGGTAATCTCCCTGCACTCCTGGACAGCTGTTCAGATGTTTGTAATAGGCCTGCTCCACTTTAATGTTCTCTCCCCCAGGCCAAAGATCCCCATTTCTTATGGGATCTGGCCTCACATGACTGGCTGAGCAGACCGAACTGGAAGCAAGAGGGGAAAGGAGCACAGGAGAGTTCCTTTCTTGTGGTGTTGCTTGATCCATGATTGCAGTCTTACATACGTGCAAACAATTGCATGGACACACCCCAGCTCTGTGCATGTGGGAAGGCAAGGGATTGCCTAATATGGGCATATGAGGGGTGTTTCTTTAAATTAGCATACAAAGCTTTTAATGCAGATGTGTGCCTGGTGTTTTAAGTGCCTGGTAGCAGTGCAACTGGGGTTGCTGATACAGGAGAGTGTCCCACTGAACGCCATGGGATGCTTTCCCAGCAGGCACACGGAGAGATGGGGGTCCCCTCTGCTGTGCCATTCAGAGACAGGCCCGGCCCGGAGCACGCGCCGAAACGCGGGCCTTGCTGGACGCGGCCCCTTCACACGTGCAGCAGCCCGCCATGCACGCCAAGGGCACGTGGGGACGCGGCTCTGAGACGTTCCCCCACTGAGCGGCCCCTTCGGGGCTGGGGGCCTGTGTGTGTTCCTTCCCGCTGCAGGACCAAGTGGAAGCGGCAGACGGCGGTGGGCCTGGAGCTGCTGGCCGAGGCGGGGAACTACTCGGCGCTGCAGCGGATGTTCCCGTCGCCCTACTTCTACCCGCAGAGCCTGGTCTCCAACCTGGACCCGGGCGCCGCGCTCTATCTCTACCGCGGGCCCAGCGCGCCCCCGCCGGCTCTGCAGCGGCCGCTGGTGCCGCGCATCCTCATCCACGGACTGCAGGGGGCCGGCGAGCCCCCGCCGCCCCTGCCGCCCCTGCCGGGGGTCCTGCCCCGGGCCGCGCAGCCGCGGTGAGGCGGGAAGACGCCTCAGGCGCCCCCTCGCGCATGGGCGCCGCACTGACTCCGGACTGCGGGGGGGGGGGCGGCCGGCCGGGGCGGGCGAGGGCTGCGCCGCGTCGCGAGGCGCCGCTTCCCCGGAGGGCGAGCCGAGGGGCGACTCGACTCGTCTCGTCACAGAGACCTTCCCGCGGGCGGCCGCGGATCGCTCTTCCCCTCCTGACCCTCCCCGGCCGGGGCCGCCGGCCTCGCACAGCCTGCCCAGCCCCGTGCCCTGCATCGGTAACGGCCACAGTTCCCATCAGCCCCAGCCGTGGGGGATGCCAAGATGAACTGAGGAGAGCCGAGGTCCGGGCCACCTGAAAGCCCCGACTCAGGGGAGCTGGAGCACAAAATCAGGCGCAGTGACAAGCCATGGATTGTAAGCACGCACAACTCATGAAGCCAAGCCTTGGTTTGTTGTTCGGCTGCAAACTGTGGGTCGTTTGCCCTGGTCTGCTGCTGTGTTGCTTGTTAGACAAGATGAGAACCACGTGGTCCAGTGGCAAGCCTTGAGTGTGCATTATTGTGTTGTCTGAACCCACCTGGGGGCTTGTTGGGGGCCAGAGGCTGGACAGAGGAGTTGCCTTCCCCAGTGGACGCTGCTGGTGGAAGGACCCATGCCAGGCCTTGCAGGATCTCCCTGACACCCATGGCTGCGGGCTGCAGCAGGGGGGAGTGTGGGGGGCCCATTTCCGCCAGCCCAGTGGTCCCAGCATCACTCTGAGCCCCACCCTCACCCTCTGGCCTGCCCGGCCTGCCCTTGTGCTTCTTCAGAGCCTAACGGAAGCAGCCAGCAGCTCCTCTCCGCATCCCCTCCACAAGGAGCAGGTCAAATCCCCCTGATGCTTCTCTCAGGCATGGAAAGTGAGGATGTAAATTCCATTCACCGGACCAGATCACAGCCCGGCATCACATCAGCACCTTCCACCTGGCAAGTGCTCCACACCTCCGATTTCCTTCCTCATCCCCATGGGACGGCCTTTCCAAAAACCCCGTACATGCACCAGCACCCCTGCCTTGCCCTCTTTCCCACATGCATAACCCCGGCTTCTCCTGGGGAAGAGGCAGCATTTGAAGGGCCCCTGCTTGTGGGCAGTGCCTCTGGCCAATTTGGAGGGATCCTTCTGCCCCACCACAGCCTCCTGACTTTGGTGGGGGGGGGTGCCATGGTAAGAAGGGGGCAGGGAGCCCACCTCCACATCATCCCCGTTGATCCAGGGTCAGTCTGAGCCCCACATGCATTCATATTCCACGGGCATAACAACATGGGCACGCACAGCCCTTTGTCGGAACGCAACATCCTTGCTGGATTTATTCTGCAAGATCAGGATGCAGCCAAGGTACACACTTTCAAAGTCCCCTGGATCTCACCTGGAAAGCCCTCCCCGAACTGATATCCATGGGGACCGAATTGCTTCCCAAGGCTGGTCACAGCTTATGCCACCAATCGCTCCACCCAAATTGCACGTAGAGACTGACATATCCCACACCATACATGTTCTCTCTTATTTGCACAGAACCCCACCCAGGAGCTACGCCATTTTCCTGTACCTCTAAAACTGTTCCTTTTTCACAAAAAGGGGCTTCTGGCTGGGTCAGTTTGTCTCTCTGTTGCCTTGTGAGAAACCACCCAGGCCTCAGTTCTCCATCCATCTAGGCCATTATTATTATTATTATTATTATTATTATTATTATTATTATTATTATTATTACATTTCTATGCCGCCCCTTGCCGAAGCCTCGGGGCGGCTTACAACACAATATATGCACCTGCACATCATTTGGGGCCCTTGTGCTGTCTTGCCCCTTGGCCCAGCCCGCCACCAGGATGCAGCCCCAGGGCTGAAAGAGGCTGGAGACCCCTGACAAAAATAAATAACATGCAGTGGAAACACGCGAGGGCAGGAAACAAGAGCGAGGACGGCACCCGTCCCCTTCCTTCCGCTGGGGGAGAAGAGCAGAGAGGTGCGTGAGGTTCGGGGTCAGGGTGAGGAAGACCGACTCACCAGCTGCCTCTGCTTAACAAACATGTGTTTGCCATCTCCCCAACCTCACAACAGACACGCCGGGGTTCCCTGCAGCCTCCGTTTCCCAAACAAAAAGATACTGTTCTTTTTTGCTTCAAAACCAGCATTGTACATATGTCTATCTTTCAGATGATTGCTTATTTTATTTTATTTTACTTCTGGGCATGTGATCACTTTCCAGTCACTTCATCCACCCAGGTGAGGCTGCATTGCACAGGTAATTGGGCATGATTCACCATTTCTAGGCAGGGAGGAAAAGAAGGAGGAAAAGGTTGATGTACTGCCTGTCTAGCAACTGGAATTAACTGAGTCAGTTTCCTCCCAAAAGGAAAAGTCAGACTTGTTCCCTCATCGCCACAGCAACCTCCCTTTTCCTGTTGATCCAGGTTCTGCCTCTGACCCTTTCTGGCAGTCTCTGAACTTTTGCCAAGCAGGGCCACTTGTGAGTTCGCAAGAGTTGTGGAAATGGACAGAGGGCGAATGCTTTCCTTCTTTCATGAACTGAAAGCAAACCACCTTTTGGAGCAGAAGAGTAAGATGTGACACTGGTTTAATTTAGGACCATTTAATTTGGGCCATCAGTAAAATAATGCTAAGCGCTCTTGGCAGAACTTCAGACTTGCAATCCTGATCCAGCCCTGTGGGGTTTCTGACTACCTGTCCTGCTGCAATTTCCCGCTTTCTGTGCAATTCCCTCCCACCCCCAACCTAGTCTAAAAGGTTAAAATGCCTCTCCTAAGATTTCATTTTGCTTGAAGCTGTGGCACATCTTTTTTGCCGGTGACCCCAGAATGTGGTCTCCGAGGGCTCCTCCAAAAAAGAATCCCACCCTTGTGTGGAACAGGTTACGCACCCCTCCTTTCCTCCCATGCATCATAAGGCAGGAGGGCTCCGTCGGGCTGGGAGGAGCCCCCAAACCAGGCCCCTGCAGGTGTGTGGGACTATGATTCCCCTCATCTCCAGCCAGCATGATGGGAGTTGTACAACTGGAAGACATCAGACTGAAGGAAGACATAACTTCAGAAGTTCTTATCCTGGTAGGAGAGCGATCGGGTGATGCCCCAGTTCATTCTCCCCGAGTCCATGTAAACAGATGGGCAAAGCGAGGCCAGCCATCATGTTGATCACAGTCCCTGAAAGCCCGTATGGGGTACAGAACGTCTTTGAGCTCAAGGACCACGCTCCATTCCAGTGGGGACAAAACCCCCTTAATATTTCAGCTTGAAGCTGTTTGTGCTGGTAACTGAACTTGTGGAAAGGCAATGTCCTCCTTTGGGAAAAGAGGGGGAAATGCTGTTAAAAGCCAGGAAATGACCAAATGGTCAGAGGTCAGGGAAGAAGGAAGTTGGGCCATGGGAAGGGACTATGGCCTCCCAGAGAATCCCAGGACGCCTGTTGCATTTTGAGGATAACTGTGATTAGGACAAGCTTCAAGCATCTCTTCCCCTGGTTCAATCTCAGCATCTTCTGGAATTACAATTGCAATGGCTGGGTTCAGACAGTACAATAACCCACATAACAAAGGTTGGGTATGGGCTGTTGCTGAGCTGTAGCTTGTTGTTGAGATGTGGGTTATCGTGGTATCTGAACCCAGTTCTGCTAACAAGCCACGGCTTAACCATGAGGCATGAAGAGAACTGTGGTTTGTTTTTTCTGTTCAGAACTATAGATTGTTCCCCACGGTTGGTTATCTTGGCTGAGTTGCGACTACACGACAACCCACACCCACACTTGAGGGTGTGAATTATGATGTTGTCTGAACAGGGCCAGTGTAGGAAAAATGAAGATGGGACAAGATAAATGGATAAACCATCTCTTTCTGCTGTGAACAGTTCCTTCACAAAGAGAAGGGACATTCTTTTCTCACTCCGGAAAAGAAAGATCCAGAACCGATCATTGGTCCGTCCTGTGAACGCTGGGATACTCTGACTTTGTTTGAATTGTGCAGAAGGAAAGATGTACTCTTGAAAATGGCTGTGAGATTCTGCTGCTTCCCCAGCTAAGAAAACATTTTATCCCAGTCTAGTGCAAGAGGAATCCTTTTATGCTAAACCAAGAATTTTCAAAAGTATGTAACTTTAAAAAAAACAAAAACTTTTGGTGTGTAAATACTGAGTGCACAAATGTATATGAATTATTTATTGGTGAACCCTAAGGGCGTATTTGTGTAAGTGAGTCTTGTAAGTCGGTATATCAGTGGAATTCTCTTTTCCGGACTTTGTGATAAAAAGAAGAAAAAGAGAATTCTACTTTAGAAGAGATCAGAAAATCTCTCTCTGTGTCTTTTTTAAATGTGGAAATAAACTTCTTTACAAACAGATCAAGCCATTTCCCAGCCTTCTTTCCCCACCCGCCCTCCCCGACTAACCCTGAAATCTCCAAAAACATGACAGAAAATGAGGAGCAAGTTTTTATAGTTCCATATCATCTCGTCATCCCTGCCCACCCTATGAATGAAAGCTGTCCAAAATGCTCCTTCCTGTCCAGCCCTGCTCAGCTCTTGGAAACTTCCTTTATGGAATTGATCCATCCCATTGGCTGTAGAAGAAACAACATTCCCATATTTCTTAGTGCAGGGAAAGGTACAGGGTGTCCCAAAAAAATTGACATTATTTGAAATGTGAATATTGTTGCTAGTCGCAAAGTCGTGTCCGGCCCATTACAACCCCATGGACAACATTCCTCCAGGCATGTCCTAGGCAAATGAAATTAAATAGGCTTCATGTTGAACATGAAGCTCAAATACTTCGGCCACCTAAGAGAAGGAAGGACCCCCTGGAGAAGAGCCTAATGCTGGGAACAATAGATGGCAAAAGAAGAAGGGACGGCAGAGGAGGAGGTGGCTGGATGGGGTCACTGAAGCAGTTGGTGTGAGCTTGAGTGGAGGACAGGAAGGCCTGGAGGAATGTTGTCCATGGGGTCGTGATGGGTCGGACACGACTTCGCA